GTGGGTGAAGGTGTGTGTGGGGGGGAGGGGGGCGGAGGAGGGGAGGGGTCATGTTTGTAAGCTTAAAACAACAACACTACTATGCGAATGAATGTTAGTTCCGCATGAAGATTTTAAAAGTACCTTTACCCAAAACCAAACTAAACAACAACATACAAAACAATAGCAGCTGCTAAAAACAAATAAGCAAAGCTATAACAACAACCAAAACGTACTCGCAAAAGGAGTGTTTTATCGGTGGCCTTGTGGTTGAGAAAGAGAGGAAGGCAGAGAAGGAGATGGGAGGACAACATTACAGAGTGGACAGGAAAGACGATGGGTGACAATCTGAGGAGAGCAGAGGACAAAAATAGATGGCGAGAGCTGGTTTTCTAATGCAGTGGTGCCTCAACCACGGGATAGAAGAAGAAGAAGAAGTGGTTAGGCTCTCACGAGCTTACAACCAACCGTAAGGTTGTGGGTTCGAATCTCATCAGCTGTCCGACATTATCTGTCCCTGTGATTTTATGTACTCTGCATAATTTAGCAAAATTTGATCAATTTTTTTGCCTAATTTCTGAATATTTTTCTTTATCATTCTTTGTTAAAATGAACGGAATCGCAAAATTTCACATTTTTGGGCTCAATTTGCATAATTTCAGAATTTTTCTTGCATAAAACGACGGGGACAGCATTTTATCTTTGAGAAAGGGTACTCTACGTGGATTTTCCTCACTTCACCCAGGTGGGAACAGGTTGACCACTCAACTCTGGACAGCAAAAGTTCTCGTTAGCTTGTTACCATTTCAGCACGTGCAATCCTGCAGCTTGCACTGTACGCTTCCCTGGAAGCTGAGAATGTTCTGGGGTCTGCTGGGGTAATAATAGCTTCAAAAGCGCATACAGCATGCTGCAGAGTGTGGTTATGCACTAAGTAGGCTATACGCAATTTCTAAAAACTGTTGTTATTGTTATCACTGTTATCTCTATTATTGTTATTCTTAGGGTTGATTATTATTATTATATTATTATTTTCATTATTATTTTTATTTGTCAATATTAATTGTTATTATTATTTTTATTATTATTATCATTATCATCATTAGTATTACTATTGTTGTTGTTGTTATTAAGAACACACAAAACAATTACAGCTACAACAATCAAATAAAACAAAATTATAGCTTGCCAACAACATCAACAACAACAACAACAACAACAACAACAACAACAACAACAACAGCAGCAACAACAACCTACCTTCAGTTTGAGCGCCCCATCCAGTGACGGTACAGGTGAGATGTGTGAATTGTTGCCCTTGGGAGGGGAGACAAGCAGGACGGATGTATGCTGTGTAGTTCTGTCAAACGGGGAGAGAGAGAGAGAGGAATAGAGAGTTGTACAAATACACACACATACATACACACACATACACACACACACACATACACTCACACATACACACACACACACACACACACACAC